AATGTCTTGGGTCCAGTACAAAGGAAGAGGTTTGTCTGATATGAAAAAACCTACATGAGATTTAAATAAGAGAGAAGTAATACTTGTAGAAGAATCTTCATATGAGTATGTGTCATTGCCTAATTACTTATGTTCTGTTCTCATACACTTTCAACTCAGGGCCACACAGGGCTGGTGTAGCCCTTTGGCATTGATCTTGTCTCTCAGGTTGTTAAAATTCTGTGGGTTCCTGGTATCAGAAGTAAGTTTTTCCTTATAGAGGGAACTCAAAACAATACCTGTACAGCATGAAGGTTTAACTCAGGAGCTTCCCCATTACACTTGTACAGACAAGGACAATGTTTAAGCACAGTCTGTGTCCTCTGTGGAGCTCAGGAGTGAGGCTTTGAAACTGGGACACCGGGGATGCCACCATCCTCTCCTGCTCCAGGCATACCAGGAGCTCTGCTATATGACTGCACTGCAAAGTAGGTTGACCTTGGTTAAGTGGGTCCAGAAAATCTTACCTGTTTTACCAGAGTAACTGTCTTTGTGTGTCCTCTACTTGCAGCCTGCAATTTCCAGAATCACCCCTTAGTTCTTTGTTACATTAAATAATAGCATTACATTGTCTATTTTCCAGCATTTAGGGCTCACTGCTGGGCTCTGTGAATATGTATATATTGCCTCTTTCTGCCTGGTTCTTCTGAACTGCTTAATATAAAGAGCAAAACTAATCAGTCCTTCCTCATCACTAACACAAACAGGACATGAACCTCTCCACGGTTTGAAGTGAATGCTTGTCCTCTGTTCCCTCTGACTGCTGGGTGGGGAAGCTGTTAACACTGTCCTCACCACTGACCAGGGTTTTGGTCAGCCTGAGCTGCCTGAACAGTGTCTGGCTTGTGCCTAAAGGGTGCAAAAAGGGGTTGAAAAATAGGGTTGACATTTGGCCCTAAGACCTGGATGTGGGCTGCTTGGTCAAATCCTGCCTCTGCTGGCACTGGATAAGTCCTAAGCTCACAGCAGAGTCCAGGTGAGCCTTGCATGGCTCTAGTTCAACTTCCTGCTCGAATCAAGACTAATGTCAAACTAGATCAGGCTCCTCAGGACTCTGTCCAGCTGGATATTTCTTCAGCTGGAGTCTTCACAGTCGCTCTAGGCCTTCCAGTACCCTGAGGAAGAATACTTTTCTTTACATCCAGTTGGGGTTTCCCTTAGCTGTAGCTTGTGCCCATTGCCTTTCACTGTGCACCTCTGGGAGGATTCTGGACTCCATCTGTTTTACAGCCCCCTTGAGGCAGTTAAAAGCTGGAGAGGATTTCCCCCTCCATCTTTTTGTCTCAGTATTAAGCAAGTCCCACACCACTAATCCCTTCCTATATGCACATACACGAATGCATGTGCACATCAGCAGCAAGTACAAGCCCTCCATGAAGCTGCTTTCCTAAACCACTACCAGACCTCCACTCATGGCAAATCCAAAGTTTGCCTGATATGCCAGCCCACCACAAGGGTAGTTCCCTCATCAACAAGATGTTATTGTTCCTCTGCAAGCTCCCCACTGGACAGGCTCAACACGCAGTCACATGAAGCCATCAGCAGACTGTCTTGGCCTGCAATTCAATCCCATGGTCCCCTACTTTAGGGACCAGAAATGGCAAAGACGTGGTTATTTCTTCAGAGTAGAGCATTAAAACTCATTTACATTCTTGCAGCTTCTATCAAGCCAGAATAACATCTTCGGAGCAAAGCTCAGAGAATAATTTCAAGATGTTAAAGCCACCACATTCCTCCATCATGGCAAAAGGATGTATTTTCCCCTTTTGTTTTTATCTTCCCTCCAGCAGCCAAATCTGCTGAGCCTAAGAACCAAAGCTGAGTGCCACCTCTGCTGTTGGTGATTGCCATGCTGGCCACTGGTGACCAGCAAAGAACCCTGCCCTGGTGCCTTGCACAGGCAGCTGGTGCTGCAGCCCCTCCCGCCAAGCAGAGCAGGCAACCAGTGAGCACTAACAGAGCCTGAGCCAGCACCCACTTCCCATGAGATCCCCAAGGGAGAAGGAGGGATGGGGAGGTCCCAGTGAGTTGCCTTCTTTAGCTATCCCCCAGGCACAGGGTTGAAGGCTGGAGTGACAAGGCTGGAGCGACATGCTGCTGAGGCAACACAGGGGTGGGTTTTTTGCACAAAGCTGCGTGTGGTGGAGAGAGGGGAGGCAGGTCCTGCAGCCTGCACTGCATTTATGTGACCATGCTCACCCTTCCAGTGCTCCCCCCACACGGAAACAATCAGCTGTGCAGAGGATCATGTATTAAAAAGACGGACAAACACCAAGCATCAGCATGCAAGCAGGCAAAGTTCAGTAAAGCATTTACAGCCTAGCCTTGGTGGACAACAGCTACTATTTGGCTTTCTGAGCCATTCTGCTTCTTATGAAATCGTGACATGGGCAACAGTGCAGGGAAATCCATATGCACTTTTGCTACTTCAGTTGTTAAGCATCCACTGTTTCCCTAAATAAATGTTTGGGATCTTCCTGGTGACTGTCTCAGTCCTGCTGGCTGAAATTGCTGCTGTTTTAAATATCCCACTTGGAAAGCAACCCCCTGTCCTCAAAAGAGAACAAAAACCCCCCATTATTTCCTCTCATCACTCTTGCATTTTGTCTCCAGCTAACTCTAATGTGGTTGTCATTCAAATACTTCAATTCAGCACAATACTTCAATTTAACTCTTAGATGGTGAGAGCAAAAAAAAGGTCTTTTTAACTGACATTTTAGAGACCTCACTATAAATGCAGCCTCACAAAATTGTCCTGCACACTAAGGAGCTCCATCTCCACACAGAGTTTTAGGAGAAATCAGCTGAAAATAACTGTAGGCATTGAAGATGCAAAGTACTTTAAATACTTTAAGTCCTTTATGTGCTGCACACACGATATCAAATTGTTACAACTCTCGCTTTTTCCAGTAATATGAAAAATGGTATAATTAATCCCACTCTTCATCCCATTCCGAGTACATTTTAAACTTACCCCAGGCTAGCTGAAGATCCTTCAGCACCGGCGGTTGCTAGAGTTGGGAATTAGCACTGTGCAAGACAGGAGAGAGAGTAGAGCAATGGTGGCTCCCAGGATGGGACTGTCACATGCTAATCACTGATTTGAAACGCTAGCATAACAAATGCCTTCTAATTATATAATCTTCAGGTCACATCCTCGCATGCCCATGTAAAAATCAGGACTGTGCACTTGGAAGAAGATGATACAGATTTTCTTCCTTTTTAATTAGAATTGCCCACTGCTGCAGAGGGAGGGTGAGAAGCCCTGAGAAGTGACGGCAGAGGGGGCCATGTGGTGAGAGCCAGGTGCTGATGTGGTCTGTGCTACTTTGCCAAGCTCAGAGGATCTTAAGTACCTCCTGTAGCACCCAAACAAGACAACTTCCCGTTGACGGGGACAGGGAAATGGGACCAGCTCCTCCCTACTTTCTCTGACACTGTCTCTTACCAGGCATGGCCTCGCTAGGGATGCCAGGGCCAAGAGGGCTCAGGGGCCAAGAGCAAGATTGCCAAAGTAGCCAGGGCAGGGGAGCAGGAATCACCAGCACTTGAGTATTTTCTGTTTCTTGTTAGATCATGACAAGTTTTCTTTGAGTAAAAACAAATTAGGTCTTGGAGGGTGGGGAGCAACAGCCCTCCACACCTGCTCCATTTCTTCACTTAGGAGGATCAGCCCTTTACTGGAGGGCTTTTTGCTCCAAAGAGCATCAAGAAAGCATGTGGAGAATGCAAGTAATCCAAGGCCAGGTGTCAGGGAAATGTGTCAAGGAAAAGTTTGAGCCGTCTGGACTGAAGGGTAAGAACATGGAGACATAAAGGAGGAGGCACAGTAACAAAGGGCAAAGTAATTTCTCCCTGAAAGACAAAGATCTACTTCAAATATACCCTTCAGGCAGAAAACCTGAAATGTAAAACTGCACAGACTAAATCAGTATAATTGCTGTGCAGCACAGATAAATGTGGAGCCTTAGCAAATGAGCTGAAAGGACAAGCTCCTAAATTAACAGAAGCTCTGTGGAAGATGCTGCTACCTCTGAAGTCAAGGACTAGGGACAGAGGACACAGTATTTCTTTTTTTGGAGCTGGCTATTTCAGAAGCAAAACACAACACAATTGAACAAAATAAAATTATAATTCTGAAGGAGTTTGCCAGAAAGTGCATTTTTGTTGAGTCAAAGATACCCATGAATTCAACAAACAGTTCAAGCTAGGAAGGGTTTGTTTTTTAATAAATAAGAACATTTAGATGAATCTATGAACAAAACATTTCAAATATGGATTTTCTTACAGGCAGTTTAAGAAGAAGGGCTGTAAGACATTATATTGCCAAGTGATCCATGAGCTGCTTTGTTTCGGATGGCCCAGTATGTCTATTTGCTGATAATGTGCTGGTTTTTCATTTTGCTAATAAACCACAGGGCCCAAGATGTTTCTGAATCCTAGCAAAATTAGCTGTGTATTTAAAGGCACATCTGAAGGAACAGCACTTGTACATTGTGTCTTCAAATGGAGGCAAGGGGTGGTATTTACTAAAACTCCATTAAATATCTGGCAAGCAAAGACTCAACACATTTTTTCCTGACAGCACTGGTATGTTGTGTTTTGTTTGTTTTTTTTTTAACTAAAAAGCAGCTTTTCTCTTTTATAAAGCAAAGTACTTAGGTTCATAGTGTAGAGACATTGATGACCAAATGCAAACAAAAACGCAAATAGATTTTTCTACTTAGATTGCTTAAGACTTTCCAATAGGAAATTCCAGTCACCAACTGCTGCACTTATGAATTCACCCTACCCAACTTCATTTCTTTAAAGACTTAAAGAGACTTCAGTTGATCAGTCTGAAAAGAAAATAATTTTATCTGCTATTAGCGTGCATGCTCAGAGGTAATTCTTAATTAAGACATGAAGAAATCAATGCCTGTTAAAAACTGGTCACAGCTGTTGAGCCCAGAGAGTTGCCTTTAACCCATGCTGCTGCCTGTACCAAACAGCTGCACTTTCAACTTCTGCTTCAGTCCCACTGCTGCCGAGCCATGAAATGTGCCACTCCACTCCATTTTCATCTTAAAATTCTCCTTCACCTTCCTTACTGTATTGACAGAAATCCAGCCTGTTGAGAATGCAGTCTCTTGCTCTGGCAGCTGATGTGGCCAGGAATCAGAAGCTTCCCAGTGTAGTGTAAGTACCTGCCTTAACTTTCTCCAACATTGTAGCCTGTAAAAGTTTTGACCTACAAAACATGCTGGTTATTCATCCAAGGAACATATTCCCTTCTTTGCAAAACTGGATGTATACTAATGTCTTCTCAGCATGCATCCTCTGCAGGAAAAAACAGTCATGATTTGAAGTTAACAGGGATTAAGTCCTATTAAGTTTATCCTGACTTTGATGTATGGCTGATGTATGCAGCCAGTTACTGTATGATCTTCCTGTAAAAATCCATCCTTTCATGCTTTTCCCATCCTGCTATGCAGTGTTTTGGTAAGGTGCAAGGATTTACAGCCTCCTGTGGGGAAAAAGGTAACTGCCATGTGATGTCAGTCCTCACAAACCACATATTTCTGCTGATCTTTGGAAGCTGTGATCAAGCTCATCATTATACCTGGAAAACTGGTATAAAGCAGAATGGTCTATGCATCATCATCCCTTGCAAATGAGGGGAAAATAACTTTTAAAATCAGTTACTGGAGTCTTGTTTACCTTAAAAAATGAAGGCATCTGGCAGTTGCAACAAGTTGCTGTGGTTCTCTCATGAAAGCCACAGTGAACTGGTGAATTGGCACCTATCTTGTGTAAGTGGAAAGTAGCAATCCTGAAACTTGGCAAAATAGTTTGCAATAGTTTGGGCTGTCAGGGACTCGTGTTTGTGACACGTATTAACAGTCACAAACCAAAAGGAGAAGTTTTCATTCCCTGGTGAAAACAGAAGGGGCTGGCAAAGATTGGATCTCTGTTACCAAGGGCGTGCCTACGTCAGCATTTTAGTTACTTGACATCAGAAGTTCAAATCAGAACCAGATGGTTTTCTCTACAGATCAACTACTAGTGACAAGCACTGTGCTGGCCTCTCACAGGAGAGTACTGGTATCACCCTAAGATTTTTGAGAGAAAATGCCTGTGAAGCTCCATGTGTGATCTACTGCTGAAGTGATGAGTACTCACAGATTTAACTTCACACAGAATCCATATCTGTCATCTAATACATAAGGAAAAGACAGACACTCTGTAGCAGATTTTAACATGCCATTTTAATAGAGGTATAAATTAACTCAATATGTTCTAAAGTATTGAAATAAATTTTTCCCCCAAACATTAGGGTTTGCCATACAAGTTTCTATTTTGTATCCAGCTACATTCTATAACACATATCTCATTCAGAGTTTGACACCTTAAAAATAGAATTGGTCATCATGCTAGTACTATTGTGACTATTATTTTTGGTCAGAAGGGTAAGACGGAGCTTTGTTGGGGTTTTTTTTGAGGAAAGGCCAAATATTAACAAATACACATTTTAGATTTATTTCAGATACTGGACTGGGGGAAGTACTTAAAGAAAAGTTAAACTTAAATCTAGCAAATCTGACAGGCAGACAATGCAAACAGCTTGAAACAACAGCTCTCAAAGAGGTCTGAACTGTTCTATTTCTTTGAACTCTACCTGAGCCCAGAGACCTGGTAATAAAAAGTGGGTGGGTGAAATAGTCAACTTGAAAACTCATGACTGGAAATGAAATACATACTTTGGACTGATCTCATGAAATGGACACAACTGGGATAAGCAATCTCAGGTACCCAGTGCAAGTTTCACTGTTAGCAAAAGAAACCTACTCCTACCTGGGGTGAATTTTATTTGGACATTACAACTTATAAAATCAAAACTATTAGAAAAGATTAGACAACTCTTCCATTTCAAACATACTTGTTTTCATTGAACAGTCCGAGGTACTTTGCTCCATTTGGAAATTTGCAGGTTCCAGCCTTGTGAAACATCTGAATTCCCCTTTGTAAACTGCTCCAGAAGGATGTTCTAGCCTTCCAGCACCATTAATCCGCATTTGAGAGATGAAGAAAATGGTTAATATTTATGCTTACATTATTATTTCCTTTCATTACAATTTCCTTTCCCACTGCTGCCTTGGAGTCTGCTATCACACTCAGATAGGATAAAGCAGGGGAAAGTGACTATGACAGATATACCTGTTTCTGCTTTTACAAGGAATTTAGGTAAGAGCTTAGAAGTTTGGGGCTGGCCATAGTGTCCAATAAACCCCTCCTCTGCTGGTAATCTCATGGGATTTTAACAATCTATGCAGCATGGAACTGCATATAACTCCTTTACCCTGACAACCTGAGGGGTTAATTAAATTTTTCAGAATTTCTTTCTGTGAATCAAGGCAGAGCAAACCTTTTATTTGTCAGCCTAGGCCACTAAGCCACGCCTGGGGATTTGAATCTGTGCTGTGAAGCACTTCTATGCCATAATCTTAATTCTCACCGTTGCACCAATATTTTCGTAAGAGACTGAAAAAAAGGCCAGACTAGATCCAGTAAAGTCACAGACCACTATTTGTATCATTTCAAGGACTGTTTCCTCTACAGTGTCAACAAAATAAGCAATTTTCCTATTCTTCCTCAGTAATTCCTGAGGAACTGAGTAACCAAGGGCAGCCACACAACAGTGTAGCTGTTGATGACTAGAGCTCCCATTTCCTTGTGGGATATGTGTGTGGTGTATATACACACGCAGGAGAGCCCACTCTGCGTGCACAGCCCATTCAGGTAGGGCTTTCACATTGGGTGTACGTGTTGGGCACCACCAACACCACACTGCCGAGATGTTTCATTGGGACCTGTCTCCCAGCAATGACTGGTGTGTTTGCAGGAGCCTCGGGAGGCTGGAGGACACCTGAAGACTCCAGATGTGTCAAGTCTTCAGACTGGGCTGTGACAAGATGCCCAGGTGGAAAAAGAGCCTGCAGCATTCATCTGATCCTTTTTGGGTTATGACTTTCCTTTTTGTGCCTTTTTAAGGGTGGATATACTGATATTCCAAACACAGAGGAAGTTTAAAATGAAGGAATACTTAAAACTACTTTGTTGTTTTTCCAGCTGCTGACATACATAGTTGCATTGGCCCCGTTGTGAGGCATCGAGCACACACTCAGGTGTCCTTTTGCAGTTCCCCTCTAGAAAACAAGAGTGATGGAAGACAAGTATTTTCACTTCAAGACAGAGAGCATCTGAGAGGCAAAAACCCAGGAGATCATGCAATGCATTTCTTCTGTTGCACAGAGCTGTTTCTCAGACCTGACTCTCCATCTCCTGTGGACAGGCTGTTCCCAGAGATGGGCCCATGGAACAGGCACCTTTGGGTGGCACAGTGTGAACCAGCAGCAGTTTTATGAACCATTTTTCCGCCACTGAACCCCGTTGTGGAGGTGGTGGGGAGCTGGCCTGGGACAGAGCAGATCCCAGCGGACCATCAGGGCAGTGGCTGTGGCCATCTGCAGGAGGACCCTGAGGAAACAACCTCAGGGCAGCTGCTGTGTGTCTGGGTTGCGGGGTGTGGTGGTTGTTATACAGCCAAACCAGTGCAGAATTTTTTTTTCTGGTAGGATTTTTTGTTTTGAACTCCAACTTGGTACAGGTTGCCTGGAGGAGTTGTGGATTCTCCTTCCATGGAGGTATTACTCAAGACCCGATGGGATGTGCTGCAGAGCAGCTATCCTGGGTTACCCTGTGTGTGTAGGGGATCTGCAGAGGGGCCTCCCCCCCTCAGCAACACAGCTTTGGAGTCTCTTGTCACTTACATCACCCTCACTCTAAAGCTGCTATAGCCTTCCTCCCTTTTGATCCCACATACTCAGTTTTGGAGTTAAGGTTGGAGAAGACCACCAAGATCACTGAGTCCAGCCATTAACTCAACACTGCCAGGCCCACCACTAACCCATGTCCTGAAAGTGCCACATCTACATGGTTTTTCAACACTTCCAGAGATGGTGATTCTACCACTTCCCTGGGTAGCCTGTTCCAAAGCCTGACCACCCTTTCCGTGAAGAAATATTTTCCAATACCCAATCTAAGCCTTCCCTGTCACAACTTCAGGCCATTTCCTCTGGTCCTGTCACTTGTTACCTGGGGAAATAGACCAACCCCCACCTGGCTACAACCTCCTTTCAAGGGAGTCTTAGAGAGTGATAAGGTCTCCCCTGAGCCTCCTTTTCTCCAGGCTGAACAACCCCGGCTCCCTCAGCCGCTCCTCATAGGACTTGTGGGTCGGTGCAATAAGAACCTGCCAAGATTTTCAACTGCCATGTTTGTCTTTATTTGGGAATATGAAAGATACTTTAAAAAACCACTACAGCCAGTGTCACTGTTACAGCTGCTGGCTGAAATTCAAGCGTACATATACATACACATATATGTATACGTATATATACATATATATATGTACACACACACACACATATATGTATTTTCCAACTGATGCCTCAGAGCTTTTTGGATTTTTTAACTTTTGTAGATTTTAGAAGTAGTAAATGTAGATTTTAATGTAGCTGTATTACATCCCTTACCCTGTAGCATAATATTTAAACATACCCAACCCTGTTACCCCATTTCATATAAATCCCTCTAAATTCCGTTAGCGTGTTTAGTCTTTTTTTCAAGGTAGAATTGTAGAAAAGCCTGGATCGGAAGGTATCACACAGACACAGCGACCTTCAAGCCCAGAACTTTGGAGGAACTCCAAGGACTGTGCGTGCTGTGAAGAAGATGAAGATGAGGAAGAAGGGGTCCCACACACCCACAGACCCAATTCCCGGAGGGGCGCGTCGGCGGGCAGAACGGGGCAGAACCGGGGATGGATAAATAGGGGACTGGATGGACCTTATTACAAAGTCACAGAACCACTGTCTGGGCGGGTGCGCGTCATGTGTATTCCCTGGGCCTCAGGCCTGAGATTAAAGGACCTACTCTCTTTATTTTATCTTATACACTAAATTGGCCTGGAGTTTTTTTTCTCCGCGCTCTCTTAAGGCAACAAAACGCACAGCAGCCTAAAGTCGCACATAACCCTCAGTGTCCCGCTTGAGTGCTCGTTCTTTCCTAAGGAGCCCTCGGCCCTGCCCACGGGGAGGAGCGGGGCGGGCGCGGCTGCGGCCCGGAAGGGAAACGCGGCGGATCCGGGTCAGGGATCCCTGCGGTGCCGGTGCCGGGCGGGGAGGTGAGAACGGGGCGGGGAAGGGGGCGGTGGAGCCCCCGGAGGGAGTCGCGGCTCCGCGGGGAGCGGGGGTGGAGAGGAAGGGGGTGAGCGGCGGGTCTGCGAGAGAGGCTGAGGGGAGGCGGGTGCGTGGGTGAGTGGGCAGGGGATGGGTCTTGGGGAGAGGCGGCCCCGGGGGCGCCTGCCCTGCTCGCCCTCTTCGCCTCCCTCACTGACTGCGGGCTGCTCCCAGCGGGGTCGGCTTGTCTGTGAGCTCCTGTCCGGCCCCGGCGGAGCTCCAGTGAGGAGAGCGGCCACAAAAAGGGAGTTTGCTGCTTTCTAAGCCCAAACCGCTGCCGCTGCTCCAAGCCCTCGTTTGGGCTGTTACCTGTGCACGGCCGTTCTTGTCCTGACTCTGGAGGTGCCAGTGCAAAGATCCAGGTGATAAGCTCCTGACAGGCTGCCCGCGGCTCCTCACCTGCCCTGCAATAGCTTTCCATTAGCAGGAATGTGCAGTTGGAGCATAATGTTGGGCCGTTCTGTCCCTGACAGCTGCTCAGTGCTAATGGGCTTCTGGAGCGCTGGGAAGATGCTGCTTTGAGAAGAGGAGGGGTTCTGTTTTCCAAGTCCCTAATCACTCCCTGACCAGGCTTCACAGAGCGCTCAGCAGTCTGAGCAGCTCTCTGCAGGAGGAGATGGATCAGGAGTTTGATATGAGTTAACATGAAAAAAAACATTGTATTTCAGCTAATGCTCCCCTTCCCCCTTTTACTCTCAACCCTGCAAACTCCTGAGTTGAAAACTGACAGCTCAGAGGCTGCTTTCTTCCCCGAAAATTCCCCTTAAGATTTTTCCTGTGGGCTTCAGTGTCCATGAAAACTCCATCAGAGTGGCAGAACTGGAGCCCCGAGGCTAGGCAGCACTGCTGGTAGGCTAATCCAGAGGGTCTGAGGCCAGACAGTTTTGTCAAACCTGCAGGCTTTGGCTGAATAGCTGTGAGGAATATTACTTTTGTTTTCTAAAGCCACAGAACTTACTGAACAATGTTCTAGAATAGTGTTCCTTGCTCCAGGTGCATACAGACACACCCACATACGGATCATTAACTGTGGGTTAATGAGAGGGTGTCTTCTCTTGTCGCATAGACAAACAAATAATATGTGCTTGGACATATGCAATGTGCTAAATCATCCTCATAACTAAGAGCTATTTTTTCCCCTTCTTCACCAAGAGAACATGAGTTCAGCAGTGAGGAGAAGAGGAAAGCCCAACAGAGGAGGAGGAAGAGGGAGAGGAGGAGGAGGAGGGAGAGGAGGCAGTGGAAGAGGAGGCGGTGGAAGAGGAGGAGGCAGCAGTGGCCGTTCAAACAAGCCTCAGCTTGGTGGAAACAGGAAATGTTCAGCCAAAATTTGGGATGATGGAGATGATTTTTGTCTCTTCGAGGAACCAAGGCTGGAATCCAGGTATTTCTTTTAATTTGGGGGGGATTGGCATAGAGACGTCTGGGATACTTCAGGATTGTTTGGGATACTTTGGGACATTTGGGATACTTTTTTGGATGGTGGGATACATAGATATTTGGGGGTGGTTTTCAGACATCCTTGAATATAGAGAAGAGTGAAAGTGTGATGAAGTTGTTTCAGTATGAAGCACTTTTTACATGTCTTTTTTTGATTAACACCTTATAAATTTTATAGCTAGGAAACTGTTTTACTTTTTAAAGATTAGAACCTCTGATTTTCTTCTTAGGTCGTAATTTCAGAACACTTTTGGTCAGAAAACACTAATATACACAGGATATTCATTGTCGTGTATACAGAGCAGAAGCTGGGCCATAGAAAATAAGCAGTTTGGAATTAGCTTAGTATCCTGTATGTGTTCTGACCAATCTGTCTTAGAAACATGTCAGAAATATGTTGTATTGTAGTCTGAGAACAGCTTTACCTAGCAAAGTATTTAGTAAATCA